CGCCTGCGTGTCAATCAATGCTTGTATGCTTTTCCCCCATAGTATAATGGATAACATAGGGTTACTCTTTGAGTCATGGCAATGAATTGGGCGGTAAGAAACGTGCGACTCACTGGTTCAGTTGTGTCCACAAGTAACGGCACGCGTTCCGAATCGCCGGCAGTACTCACAGTTGCCCCGTTGGGACGGCTAGCGCGTGTGGGAATATCTTCCGGGGAAACTTGGTTGTCGACGTGGTTGCTGTCTACGAAACCCCCGAGTATCTGCAAACCTGCCCCTGGGGTTCGGCGAGTGGATAGGGGCGAAGTTCTCCGGCAACCCCAGTTGATGTTCACGGAGTACGTTCTTGAACTGTTCTATTTTGCGCCCCGTCTCCAGTGCATCTTGCAGGGTCATTGGTGGATGTCTTCGGAACTTCATGACGAGTTCCGGGTGCCGAACGCCGACGCACACGTCAGTCTGTCAGTATCGTCCGTGAGATACTGCCGCAGCCGAGGAAAGGTGCTCGCGGAGATCGGATCACCGGGTCGGATAACGTCGCGTGCCATATCCTTTACTTAGCCTTCCAAAAGGGAGAACAAAACACGCTGTCGATCGTTCGTAGGGAAGAGCTCAACGTATTCCTGTGGGTCCGCCGCCGAACGCCAGAAGTCATCGCCCAATCAAAATTTGGTTGGTGGGAGGGGAGGGTTGGGTATGTTCCTGTCCGCGTTGTACTATGAAAGACTGACTGGTGGTGTGTTAGAGGAAGAACTGGTGAAACTTAAGGACGCGCTCCCGAACGGTCTACCGAGAGAACCTTTCAGGATAGGCCACTATGCTAAAAAGTTCTCAAGGCTCACTCATAATCTAAACCAGCCACAAACATAGGCTGCATATACTGGTCACTCCTATGGTTATTTACTCGTACAGGTGCTTTTTTAATGCAACGTACACTGGCCGTATGGCGAAGCAACTATCCCAAGGGATGAACGAACACTGCTCAGGCTGGTTAAAACAAGGAGGCACAGGAAACATAGGAAGCACCGTTGTTGATCTTCTAGGACGACCTCCGGTTTTGTCTTCTGTAATTTCAGCGGCCTCACGAACCACCTTTTCGGAGAAGTGCCACACATAACTAGGCCTATGTGGCATTCGGTTCTGTTTCCAACGTGAATGTAATCGATTCTTGTCTTCATTCGTTCTACTTCGACCTTGATTGCATCCACTAGAAATGGGTTCATGTTTATGTCATCACCGCTCCGTTTATTTGACCATAAAATTTTCCATAAAATGTAAATCGACATTGAATGCATATTGCACCGTCAAATCCTTGAAATTCATCGTTTGCATTAGCAGCGGTATTTGTTTTGTATCAATGTAACAACAGCGCAGATCCATCGGTCTCAGGAGTGCTACATTGGTAAACAGAGGCAATTAATCGTAGAATAACATTTCATGATTCTCCAAATTCCGTTCACCTAAGGTGTTCCCGAACTCAAATGTGTTCTTCGAGGTGTATTTAGCAAGCTTTTTGCACACGGGTTTGAGAACTGATATGAGCCACTTGCCAGTCTGAGTGTACGGTGAGTTAACCACAGATAATATTAGTCTTGATAGCAGATCAGTCTTGTGAATCCATAAAGGTTCACAAAGACAGTTTGATTAGATTGTAAAACGTGAGCCAAAAGGAGGTAAGCAAAAATGGGTAATTACTGTTTCGAAAAAGAAGCAAAATGGGGTACACTGCAAGGCAGTTAAATAATTAGGCAAAAAAGCAGCAGATTTAATAGCTGCAGGTTATTACGCTGTCACTGGTTTTCTTATTGCATCTCTCGGTATCTTGCCGAAAAGGTGAGAAACTGCGTATATGCACCAGCGAATCCTCTGTGGTTTGTTTCAACCACGTTCCCTGTCACACAGGTGTTTATATGTGCATAAAAGATATTAGATCTGTAATGTAAGCCATTTTGCTTATCAAACAGTGAATATTGAGACTGAACATTACGGTAGCAAACATGTTCACCACAGTTTGTGTGTGTGAAAGAGCTGTCTGTACCCTGAACTATTACGTTTCTTGTTCAAGCCAGAAAATCAAGGTCGATTACACGCATGAGAATTGGATAAATTGAAATATGAAGGATTATCTTTTATTCGTAATGTGGTTTGTCATAATTTACATTATATGAGTATTATATCTGGTGCGCATATGAAGAGGGGTGGGTGATTCCCACGCGATTTAAAACGACCATGACGTATCGGAACAGATTAATTAGTACATTTACTATTTTATCAGGCAAACAGCCTGCCAGACTGTTTGACCACAGATTCAGAATATTTTATGAAACCGTGCTTAGCGTGTTTTGTAGGACATGTTTCGTTCCACTCGCTGCGATTTGTTGCCACCCCATTACGGTTTTAAAACGAAAACTTTATCAGTTCGGAACCGAATTTGCGGATTTATAACCGTACGGTTAACTTCCTGGGATAAAATCGACACGAGAACGTAATGGAAACCATTAATTAGATTCCACTTCAGCGGCAAACACAAACGTACGTTACGTGTGAGCAAATATCTTTCCGTTATCAGAAAACTTACGTTTATTCCGGGGGTGCATACAGACTAGACATCTGTCAAATTTGCGAAAGCAAAATTTTCTCACAGTTCCGAGCATCGTGAATTGGTTTATGCCGCGCTTATCGAGTCTGATCATAGATGCCCTCACAGAATGTGCGCATACTGACTACCTGTAAGACTTGAGACACTCCTTTCGTAGACCCACCATTTTTGTTTTCCTCGATCTGAAAGCGGATTTCGACTCAGTCGACCGCTGTAAACTCTGGCGCTGCCTTTCTCTGAAAGGTGTACCCGAGAAGTTAATTTCAATATTACGTTCGCTTT